GAGAGAGAGAGAGAGAGAGAGAGAGAGAGAGAGAGAGAGAGATCTCACATCTTCTTTTTCCATTCATCCATCGTGGACACTTATGTTGTGTCCATCTCTTAGCTACTATAAATAATGCTGCAATGAACATGAGCATGCAGATATCTTTTCCAATTCGTGTTTTCATTTCCTTCGGATAAATACCCAAAATTAGATTGCTGGATTGTATGGTAATTCTATTTTTAATTTTTTGAGGAAACCATACACATCTCCATAGTGCCTGTACCAATTTACATTCCCACCAATAGTACAGTGTGTTCTCTTTTCTCCACATTCTTGCCAACCATTGTTATCTCTTGTCGTTTTTATGGCGCCATGCTAACGATGTGAGATGATACCTCATGAGTTTGATTTGCATTTCTCTGATGATTAGTGTCAGGTGTCACTTCTGATATAAATTTTGGTTCTGGGAAGGGGAGAGCAAGGAGTTCATGATCCAGGGTCAATACTGTCAGATTTCCTGCCCTAAATAATATTGCAGCCTTGGGGCAAGGGAAGAGCAATGCATGGAAAGTCAGATGGGTCTTGGCTTGAATCCACCACTAACTCTGGCAAACCTGTCTCCTCACCTGTAAAATGGAAATGTGGACACCCATATCCTGCATCACTCCCAGACCGCGGAGTGTGGAGGTGGAATGTCTACTCCCTGTAGAACCCTGAAGGAATGTCAGGGTGCTGGCTTCTCCTGGGTCTAAGGCCTGATTTATGACTATTTCTTCTGCTGCTACAGGTTTGCCAGGACCTGCAGGGCAAACAGGAAAGCCTGGACCACCTGGCCCAGCTGGGCCCCAGTGGAACAATGGCTCTGCTGGAGAACCTGGACCAAAGGGAGACACTGGACCACGTGGTGAGCCACTGGGCATGGAATGCAACGTCTGCAAGTGGTACTGCTGCCACTAGGATATACTAGTAGGCATGCATATATCTCTTCCCAGGAAGAGCAAGAAGTCTGTTCTGAAGGTGGCACTGGGTTACTTTGGGGAAGGCTGTAAGATGGGATACTTCATCTTTAGGACCCTTCTGCCTCTCGGACTTCTATTATTGCTCTCATCTTTTCATGCACTCCCACTTTCAAAAAGAGTTAGTATCACTGACTGGGCTGTTCCTTTTCCCCAGGACCTCCAGGATCTCCAGGTTTGCCTGGTCCAGCTGGAAGAGAGGGTCCCTCAGGGATACAGGGGAATGTAGGACCTCAAGGCAAACCAGGCCCAAGAGGAGAGGCTGGACCCAAAGGTAGGTGGTTGGTATGTGGCTGGTCTGCGAGGGAGAAGGGAAGAATGACAGTGGCAGTCCATGATGTGACCGAAGGCATTTTCTGGATGCCAGGAAATGCCCAGACCATTAGCACTGGGTACACCTAGCTATGGCGCCTTCCCCCCCAATCCCCACATTGACAGTACTTTTCTGTTAGCCTCCATGGAGGAGCCCTAGGCAGTAAGGAGCACAGTCTCCCCAGTTCTCTCTCACCCTGGAGCTGTGGGTGAAAAGCCCCACTACTGAGGGAATGATACACACTGCTCACACTCTCAGCAGCATTTGTCCCAATTTGTTCCTTCCTCAGGAGAAGTAGGTGCCCCAGGCATGCAGGGCTCTCCAGGAGCAAGAGGCCCCACAGGTCTTAAGGGCGACAGTGGTGTCCCTGGTGAGCGTGGAGTCCCTGGAATCCCGGGGCCAGCAGGTGAGTGATGGAAGAAGCTGGGGCGGGGCTTCAGTTTTCCTGTGTCCACCTAAAGCTGCTAATGCTGCCCCTCCACCAACCGCACGCATCAGGTCAGAGCTGGCATTTTTGGGTGGTAGGGTGAGTCTATATGCAAGGAGAGTACATAGATGGCTTGGGTAGGGGCACTGTATGTAGGGAGAAGGCGAAGTGATGAACAGGGATAGTGTGTACACAGGGAAGTTTGGTTGCTGGGTGATGGAATGATGGGTGCACAGAGAGGGAGCGTGGCTGGGTTCTGGGAACAGACTATACGGGGTGGGTGTATTGCGGGACAATAGCACAGCCCCTATGCTGAGAAGGTGAAAATGCTGGAAAATGTATGCAGAGCTCACCCAACTCTTCTTCTCTGATTTCAGGGACTGCTGGAGCCCTGGGTCCACAGGGACCCCCAGGTGCCAGGGGCCCCCCAGGACTCAAGGGGGACAGAGGTGCTACTGGGGACAAAGGAGCAAAGGGAGAGAGTGGACTTCCAGGTGAGGTAGACTTCCCAGCTCTGGGAGCCCCCACCAGGGTGGGGAGGGTGAGGAGGAGGGAGGACCCTCTTTAGCTCAAGGCAGGCCCTCCTTTTGGCTGCCAGCCTCATTAATTACAGGAGTGTGTGAAAGCAGGGGAACCTAACAGGCTGAAAGGCAGGACAATCAGGCTCTGGTCTTAGACTCTATTACTCAGTGGAGGGCAGCCCTGAGCAGTTTTCCCATCTGATCAAAGGGACAAGCCCATCTCCCTTCACAAATCAACGGATAGCTTTGAGCATCAAATAGCACAGTGGATGGGAAGTACTTAAGGAATGTGTATTCCTGTCCCTCTATTCCACAGGAAGATCCATGAGATTGTCAGAATTGGGAGTGAAAATATCATCTGGTTCAGTGTCAGTAGGGTGCAAGGATCTGCTCAAGGGGCAGTTTGTTCACAGCAGAGCCGCAGGATCCCATGGGCTGCAGGGGCCGGTTGTTTAAGCAGATGTGGGCTTCCTGGGCGCCAGTCCCAGCTCTTTTACCCCACTCCCAATGTGCCTGCAACCCTTCCCTTTGAGGCCCAGGCTCTAAGCCTATCCCCAGCTGTGCCTTCACTCGGTCTCTCTCTCCTGCAGACATCACTGCTCTGAGGCAGCAGGTGGTGGCCTTACAGACACAGGTACAACGCCTCCAGCGTGACTTCTCTCAATATAAGAAAGGTGAGTTCCTGGAGCTGAACCTGAGCCAGGCCCTGAGGCCAAACCCCAGACTGGGCCTGCACCTTGGTTTGGAGTTGGCTGGTCCTAGCCAAGGATTGCAATGAATTGGAGCCATGTTTAGGGCTTGAGCTGCGACTGGTGTGGAGCTAAGCATAGGGGTAGGACAGAGCACTGCAGCCACATGTCCCAGGACCTGGAAGTAGATGCAAGGGACAAGTATCAGGATATGTCCCCTATCATCAGTTGAGTGGGCTCGAGATAGCATGGCCGATGCTATCAGTCTCTAGAACACCCCTAATATCACAGCCACCTGTCACCTGAGTCAGATCAATGCCCTGAGTCCAGTGCAGTTCAGCACACCTTCACTCCTGCCAACACTGTACGGATCCTCATGACAGACATAAGGACACCTGCCACCTAGGATGCATTTCTGATCTCTGTGGGGCCAGGTGCACAAATACCCAGAGATGCATCTGCCCAGCCCACAGGAGGCAAGGGTCCAGACACTGCTGTGAGAGCTGGGCTGGGATGTTGCCCTTGGTGTTCAAGGCTAATAGGAGCTTGACTTCAGTGTGTGGCCATCGAGAATCTCACCTGAGACATGCCCTGGGCCTGGCAGGGGCAGGCTACCTCTGGGCTCTGATGAGTGCTGGGCAATCCCTGCCCCTCCCTGGGTGTTCAAAGTAGACATCATTCCCTAACACTGGAATGCTGAGCAGTCACAAGCCTGCAGGGGCACATGCCTAAGTGCGCTGTGCCTTTGGGAATCTCCACCTCAGTCTCTAATTGCCCTTCCTCCTCTTCTGCTCTCCCTGATGTCAGCTTTGAGGCACATCATTCAACAGATCTCATTGACCCAAAAAAAGAACAGTTTTCTGAAGAAGATTAGTAAAAGGGCCTTGACTGGGTGAAACATCCGGTTGGCTCCTAAGTACCTAAGCCAATGCAGTAACTAAGTGCAAAGGATGAGAGGAATTTCAAGCACTTGGTATGTCTTGTTCCATCCACAAATATATTTGCATATGTATTTAGTCAATCATATGCACATTGATGTACACAGAGGACAACTTCTGCACATGCACCTGCCACACACCTGTATTTACATATCATCACTGACTCATGCCATCTACATACATGAGCACACACACACATATGCAGGTACATAGAAATATTCATACACATCCAGATGGACCTTAAGTACTCCCAAACTTCAGATAGACACATGGACATGTGCTTGTATGCACATGTGTACCCATTCAGATGCATGGTAATGACACATGACCATGTAATGACACATGAACTCTGGCACTGACCTTGTCCAGGTCTGCTCTGAGTACCATCCTGAGCCTGTAGAGAATCTGTACCCTGAGACCTTGTTGAAGCTACTCAGAGGAGAAGGGAAGTGGGTCAGGGTGCAGCCTGGGCACCTAACCAGTCCTGTGAGGCTGGGGCACAGCCCTCTCTGGAGCCCTCAAAATTTCCATGCATGAGCCCTGAAATCAAAAGGGTGGAGAGTGAGATGGAATGAAAAGAGATAGTTGACATTTCACACAGGTGATGTTTTTATAAAGTGTATCCCCACTTTAGAAATGAGGAATTGGAAAACCTGAAAGGAGATGTGACATTCCTTGTCTCACCTAAACCACCATTGCTAGGGTGGAGCTGAACAGCTGGCTTGATTAACAGACAGAGTTCTATCCAGCACTGCTCCCGCCCCTGCCACCACTCCCCCAGCACACCTTCATTGTCTCACCCAGTGCTCTAGGGGAGGATGACTGGTGAGGCCCCACCCACGTGTACAGCGAGAGGGCAGCATCCGGCTGTACCCAGTGCAGAGGTCAGCACATCTTGCTCTCAGAAGGCCCACCCTCTCCTCTCCATTCCCTCACCCCGCACACAGCACAACCCTCCTTGATAACCCCACACTCCCTTGTTACGAACGGGTCAGAGTGAGATCCCAATGAGCCCTGCATTGTGTTGTCCCTACTCTCAGAGCCTTCTCCAGCCTGCACGGTGCCCTTTCCCTGGGACAGTCAGTTCAAGTCTACCCAGTAATAGGAAAACAGATTCTGTCAGACAATGTGGGGTGAGTTAGAAAGAGCGTGTCTATGTTTAGGGTCAGATCAAACAAGCTTCAGTCCCTAATTCTACATTTGATAATGACGCAACGTTAGGCCTCTCACTTAACTTCTCTGAGGCCAGTGTTCTCATCTGTAACTAGATACCCTAGTACCACCTCAGAGGGTGCATTGTGGAGCTGGGGCTGCTCTAGAAGCAGGTGTCCCACTATTGTTGTCCCACTATTGTCTATCTGTTGCCATGATACCTGATATGGGAGGCCTGGGGTTTCCAGTTGGAGCACAAATATCTCAGAGCCCCTAAGGTCTGACCAGGTGCTGCCACAACCCCAACCTGACTCTCCTCTTCTCCTAGCGGTGATGTTCCCTGATGGCCGAAGTGTTGGGGTGAAGATCTTCAAGACAGCAGGATTTGAAAAAGCTTTTGCGGACGCACAGCAGATATGCACACAGGCTGGGGGACAGCTGGCCTCCCCACGCTCTGCAGCTGAGAATGAGGCTGTGCGACAGCTGGCCTCAGCTCACAACAAGGATGCGTTCCTCAGCATGACTGATGCCAGGACGGAGGGCAAGTTCACCTACCCCACAGGGGAGCCCCTGGTCTACTCAAACTGGGGCCCAGGGGAGCCAAACGACAAAAATGGGGGAGAGGACTGTACAGAGATCTTCCTCAATGGCAAGTGGAATGACATGGACTGCAAAGAGAAGCGCCTTGTGATCTGCGAGTTCTGAGCCACCAAGGGTGAGCAGGGCAGTCATGACCCAGGAGCCTGGCCAGCAAGTCGGGGCCCAGACCTGTGTGCTGCTTACATCCCAATAAAAAGCTGACACCTCTTCTGCTCTAGGCTTCTCCACATATCCACAGGATATGCATGTGGAATATGTTCTGTGAATGCTTCTCTCAGAATAAACTATAAAACTAGCTCCACACACTTGCAGACCTGTCAGATGAAGAAGAACCAGCCTGCTTTCCCAGATGCAAAGAATGAAGTTAGGTCTCTAGCACGTCCCCATTGCAAAATCCAATGGCCCCCCCTCAGCCGTCCTCCTCCTTGAACTATCAGCCACATTAGACCCAGCTAGTAGCTCCCTCTTCCGTCACTCCTCCTCTGTCAAGTTTCCAGGACAACCTTGCTGGCTTTTTTCCTTGTGGCTGCTCCTTCTCGGCCCCTTTTGCTAGTCCCTCCTTGTCTTCTTGACCACATAATGGCGATGTGCTCGAGCCTTCACTCTCCATCCTCTTCTCTTCTTACCTCACTATAGAGGTGACCTCTTTCTGTCCATGGCTCAGATACCTTCTACTGATGGCCTCCAGATGTATATCCCTGTTCAGAACCTCTCCCTGAGCCTTAGACTTTTCTAGGCAATGCAAGCTGGAGCTCCAGCGCTGGGAGGCCTCAGTAACTGCCTCTTGCTTCAAGGCCTGAGCTCTGAAAGCTGCACAGCAGAGTGGGATGACCTGGCAGGTCACCTGCCTCCCTAGGCATACTG